CCCCCCCCCCCCCCCCCCCAATGTACAGGCTCCATTTCTTCATGATTAGTATTTAGTATTCATGTTGATTCTCGTGATCCTTAGCTTCCAAACATGTTCTCAGATGATTGCCCTCCTTTATCCTGGGATACAGGAAAAGCTTACTCTCGAGGCGCTATTGAGTTGTACTATGAGGTATGTAGTTGTATGACTTCTTGATTTTTGTGTTGGTAATCTCATTTAGGCTATTGATTTTGCCAAAAAAAGGGGTCATGAATGCTTCTACTTGAAAATCTTTATTGCAGTTATTTAACATAGTCTTAACCATTAGGAACAGTTTATTTGAGGAATTAGCATACCGACTTTCTTTCATCCTTTCCCGTTCGTAGATCAAAATTTTCCTTTATTTCTTCTATTGTCTTTCTTTATGAATTTTTCTAATTTCTTCTTTTGTCTTTCTTTATGATTTTTTCTAAACCAAGCATTCATCTTAGATTCAAGAATCAATCGTCTAAACATCTACAAGAGTTTTTGCCATGTGGCACTGAATTTTTTTTTTTTAGTTCAAATACCATACAGAGTGCCACTGTGTTGATCAAATATTTGTTTGAAATATTCCTCATATCACTTAACATTCCTGCCAAAAATAGAAGAGAAAAAAAACCCAAAAGATGGTGAATATAACTAAATTTAAGTGAAATAAAATGGACTTTCTCTGATGAAATTATTTGAGTGTTGTTTGAGAAGTTGTATCACGTAGAGTTGAGTCTATAGCTAAAATAAATGCTGCGATTGTGTGCACCCTGGAATAATGATTAGGTTTTCTAAAGTGGGAGAGCAGATGCAGTACGGTGTACCTTGATTTTGGGCTGACGCCTTGCGCAGGAATATAGTTGAGCAAAGAAGTGGGTATGAGTCCTGTAAGCACGTTTATTGACATAATGAATAAGTGGGCTATTCTCCATTTGTAACCTGGGGGGACAAATCAGCACCCAGAATATCTGCTTCTTCTTGTGACGCTCATTCTGATTTGCGGATCATGAGGGGGGCAACTTTCTTTATTAATGACAGGATGTAAGACACTGTCAAAATAGAAGCTTCAGTCTTGAACCAGATCAGTCTTACACTGTTTAATAAAGACACACACGTCTTAAGAAGACGAGATGTAATCTCTATCCCCATGGAAGATCCGAATCCTTCCATTCTTTTTGGTTTTGCATTCTCACCCTACAAAGAGTTGAGTTACCACCAGAAAGGTTTGTTGGTTTAATGTAGTTAATGACTCATTCGGGACTAAGGTTGGAAGTTATAGACATAGTATAACAGGTGAAATCGCAGATATTGATGTATTGGAAGTTCAGGCTGAAAGGTTCTTCACGTGGTTTTTGAAAAAGGTTGACGAGTATAGGAGTTGGAGATGTGGAGATTGTTATTTATTTACTTCAAATAGTATGGACATGAAATTTATTACCATTTGTTCTTTAGATAAATAAATCCTCTAAAAAATCTTAAGATACAGTAGATGGTGCTCTATATGACATACGTGGAAGCTTTCATCGAAATTGAACTGTGTAACCCATATTACCATCCACTCATGTTGGAAGCTTTATTGATTGGAATCTTGAAATCTACACTGGCTTTCATTTTTTGGTGACAAATCTTGATTCAACAGGCTGGTTCTGGAGTTTGTTTATCCAAGAAAAAAGTCATCCAATCTCTCTTAGAAGGTACAGCTGCTTCTCATCTGGAAAACGTTGACAGTGAAGATAAAGATGTCACTCTTGGTTCAGTCGTTAGAGGTAAATTTCATGCATCCAACAAGAAGTTCAATATTTCTTTTATCAAGATAAGATGAATGGCTTGGAAATTAGGCTCCTGTTTAGTTTTGCTAAAAATCAGAATTTTAGTACATTTTGGTAAAATCGAACGAAATATGTGGTTGAAAAGTTGTGAGTCCCTTGAAATGTGTGATTAAGGTTAATTATTGACTTTGACTTAAATTTTTATCATCTTTTTTAGTTGAAAAAAACAGGGATTAGGTGTTAATTCTCTAGACTAGCTTTACTGTAGAAATGAAATCCTTTGGATGACACTTGAACATACTACTAACATTTAATCTGCATTGAAGAAGCTTTACTGTAGAAATAAAATCCTTTGGATGACACTTGAACATCCTACTAACATTTAATCTGCATTGAAGAACGGGGAATTAGTTTATCTCTTGTTTGGCTCTGTACGGAACTGTATTGCAAGAGTACTTGATCGGATGTCTAAATTCCACTAAACTGATCAATGGGAAAATGGAATTTCTTCGCGATTGAGTCTGTCAAGTGGTAGGAAATCTTGAGGTCATTGGTTCTGGTGGACATTAATATTCTGATCATTTACAATGAGGCGGCAAGCCCCTAATATCTGAGCTAACAACACCTTGGTTCAGATGGAGGAATTCTGCGTGCTTGGTTGAATCTCGTAGACCAATGACACATGATTTGAGCTACATAATATGCTAACACTGGTTATTCCAAATGCTAAGTAATTGTCCTCTGTTTCTGAGGGCCTAAATTACTGTGTTTAGTGGTAGATCAAGTACGTGTTTGGATTTACTTATTTTTTGATTATATAATCTGTTGCTGAAATATATGTCGATGAATGTATGTAACATGGGAAATGTGGTGAACCTCTAGTAAGTATCAAATCACACACTCGTGTATCTGTTTGAGTAATTTTTACTTACTCTCTTCATTGATTGATTCAGGCACTGATTCTAAGTGGGTTAGAGTCAACGAGAAGAGAACTCTTCATGACGTTCTAAAAGATCCTAATATGATTATTCCTGGAATTCCTGGTATGCTAATTTCATTTGAGATACTTGCCGCTTGTTTCATTTTGATTCTTTGAGAAGTGATTATTTGAAAAGTGTTATTTTGGTGAATGTGTAGTTAACTAAGTAGGGAAAAGTTATGGGGAAACAAGAAAAATGATTTTTTTGGAGAATGTGGGTTGAAAATGAGCGTGGGAGAGAAGTGATTCTCAAATAATCAAAAACAAACAAGGGCCTAATTTGTCTTAAAAATTAGCAATCCCACTGTATTTTGTGTCTCATATCTCTATTTTACTTTGCGTTGGTTGCAGTTTTTTTCGCCGTTTCTAGGAAATCCAGCTTCTACAAAGATTTCAAGTCTGGAAATTGGGCTCCGCCAGAGATTGCATAATCATTAATCAAGACACTTGAGGTAGTAACGCATGTGCATTTTGTCGAGGTAACCTGGATGACGTGGTTAGTGCAGATAGCTGGTCGTTTGTGTATTAGCAATTAGATTAATTGATGAGTGACTATTTTTTCCAACATTTTTATTACATAATTTTTTTTTTCCCATTGAATCTCGTATATAACTTGTCTCTATTAATGCACGTGATGAAGTTTATTGTAGCATGTATGTTCCATGAGTCGAGTACTTGTGCGACACACTTATGGTTTCCGAGAGAATAAAGGTGTACATTATAAAAATGAATCTCGTACACGTTTAGGTGATATAATATACAAGACTGGGAATCAAATTGCTTAAATGTTTTCTTATGTCGGCAAGAAGAAATGAAATGCTCAACGAACCTTATTCTGCGTCAACATTTGTTTTCGATGTTGCCACTTAACCTAGATATATGGGGAGTCAACAGGGTCGTGGTTTTTTCTCTTTTCAACCAACTGAATAACTCGGGCAAAAGAAACTCAAGAATCAGTGTTAGCCTTGTGTTTCTGGTTATTCAAGCAGTTGCAGTCATTTAATTTGATCTGTAACATGCCCTTTTTGCTGCACGAACGATATCCTCGACCTGATGAATAAGTTACACAGGAAAAACCTATAAAAACATTGAAATTGTAGGACGAGAAGAGAGAGAAGTGTAGGAGGATAATTAACCTGCGGGAGAGCCATTCTCTCAAGATTAGCAGCATAGGGCATTGGAACATCTGTCCCAGCAATCCTCTCAATAGGTGCATCAAGATGATCAAAGCATTCTTCAACTACTGATGCACTGAAGAAATGAATGTACTTATTAAGTACGAAAGAAGAAGGAAAAAAAAAGGACAATCTCATTGACTAAAGAGATGCGGTATTGTAAAGAAGGTACCATATTTCTGCACCGATACCATGTTGAGCGAACCCTTCTTCGACAGTCACAAGCCTACTGGTTTTCTTGACAGAATCATATATCGTCGCTCTGTCAAGAGGGCGGATGGAGCGAAGATTTATCACCTGAAGATAAAAAAATATGAACCAAATAACAAAAAACTCTATTTGTCCATGTCATTGTGTATATACATTCTGAGTTACCTCAGCACTGATTCCATCCTTCGCGAGAATTTCGGCAGCCTACATATTATTATACTCGTGTCAATTCCATATGGAATAGAACTTACATATTTATTCATACAAATATATTGACAAACCTGGAGAGCATAGCCGACCATTTTTGAGAAAGCAGTGATGGTCGCATCCTTTCCTTCTCGTTCTATCTAGGAGAGAGAAATAACAAATTTATACACTGCAAGCATAAAAAACAACATATAATTTAGAGTAAATACCTTAGCTTTCCCAATTGGAACACAGAAACTAGAATCAAGAACTTCTGCTGAAACAGGAAATGATTCGCCATACCTATGATAAAAACAAGAATAACTTAACACAAAAATAGGTTTACGCTTAAATCATACGTATAAAAATGGAACATTGCTTTTTACAGCAATTCGTTTTCCAGGAAAATAACAGGATCTGGATCCCTTATAGCAGCTTTTAGGAGGCCACGAGCATCCTCTGATGAATATGGAGCCAGTACTTTTAACCCTGGACAAGAGGCATACCATGCTGCATAGCACTGCAAATGTCAAAACAAGGCTATAAGAAGAATCCACAGTCGAGGTAATGCATTTGCTTTTTCTCGTATGAACAATAGAATCCATTTTTCCAATCGAACGAAGGCATCCATGCATTAGAATTTTCACCATTTGAAACTAGGAATGAAATCATGTAGTTATAAGAATACTACTCTACCATCATCTTCTACGTTGTAACATGGAGCCTTGCTTATACATGGGCACATAGAAATCTAAATGGAATCCTATAACCACCTTGCTTAAACAAGAAGATGGCATTGAGAGAAAACTCTTACGTGGGAATGTTGTGCACCCACACCAGCGGCAGCACCATTAGGACCTCTAAAAACAATAGGCACTGATATCTGACCAGAGGACATGTAGTTTGATTTTGCTGCAGAATTTATAATATGATCAATGGCCTGCAACAGATGAAGATGAACACCATCAGGTTACGTGTGATAGCATCAAATTGTGGACTCAAATCATTTCTATTTGAAGGCAAATTATTTCATTTACCAACAACGTCTAATCCTACTCAAGTAAACATAGAGTCGAGGAAATAGCTCATGACCTGCAATGAGAAGTTAATTGTCATGAACTCGATTACAGGCTTTAGACCATAGTAAGCTGCACCTACTCCAATTCCAGCAAATCCAGCCTACAAAAATATCACATTGATTAGTTTGGAAAAGATTTCCATCTCAAATCAAACAAATCATGGTACATTGTATGATAAAGACGATTTCGACTTTTCTTATTCATTACTGTTTAATCATATCAAATCTTCTGTGCCAAATGTGTCATAAAGTAGAGGATAAAAACCAACCTCGGTAATAGGTGTATCATAAACCCTTTCAGGACCATACTTGTCTAAAAGCCCCTTGGTAATCTGGAAGGCAATGCAGTGAATCAAAAACTAGTTACTAAAAGAATATGTAAGTGTGAAACAAAATCCAATATTAACTAGACATTTTACAAGGCAATTAAACTACGCCAAATATGTTAAACTTTTTGGGATGAAACATTGGCCAATGCTCACCTTATATGCACCTTGATACTCACCAACCTGTACAAGAGCACAGAATAAGTCAAAAAAATGTTGTGGCAAGTAAAAAGAATAAATGAACTCGGTCAAGGTACAATTACCTCTTCACCCATCAAAAAGACTTTGGGATCAGCGGACATTTCTTCATCAATTGCTGAATTTAAAGCATCACGTACTGTCATCTGTGCAAAAATGGTGCAAACAATTGTATTAATCCCTTAAAAATGCATTTTTGTACGTATACAGACATATATAGTGATAATACTCAGCCGGAAATGTGGATGCGTGGTCGTTCTAAAATAGATAGAGTGAACACATATTACCTGTTTACTGTTGGAAGAATATGCCTGGGATGCAACTACTCGAATTCCTTGCTCCAGAGTCTCTCAATAGAAAAGTATAAAAATTCATCGATTCACATAAACAATCTAAAGAAGGGTAAAATTCAAAATAATGAATTCAAACAATCATCTACCAGAGCAGGAAACCCTTTACAGGAGGCCACTCTTTGCCTTATAATTCCCAACATTTGCTCCTTTTCAATTTACCTGATTTGCACCAACAGTACAAAAGATCATATATACAAACAGAAAAAAACACCAACACAGAATAAAATCAGATCAAATCATATGCTACGACAGAGAATTTTTTATACATTATTTTATATATATATATATATATATGCAATTACCAGTAAATAAAGCCAACAAGATGTTAAACTAATGTGCTGAGTATGAAACTACACACAAATGAATAGTACGAATAGAGAGAGAGAGAGAGAGAGAGAGAGTAGACCTGGTTGGTTGTGTATTATTGCGGGGATTCTGTTGAAGGAGATGATATTTGGAATTCGACTGTTAAAACTTAAAACACACGATAGATGGAGACTTGGCACCTGATTCGTTACGGACAGAGTGCTAAAATTTGTTTCGGGCGCTTTTTTGTGCTATTTATGCTAATGTTTTAAATTTACCAAACCGGCCCAGGCCCGTATCTTCAATCCAATTTGACGTCTCTTTTCTCGGGTTTTGCTAGGGTTTTTCTCCCATTAGATTAGACCATCACAGAGAGAGGTTCAAATTCACTTTTCACTCAACGGAAAGGAAATTATCAGATAATCAATGGATTCATCAGCTCTTGACTCTCCTCAATTACAGCAATTTATCAGTGTAAGTACTTCGGAAAATATGTATTCGTGTATTTATTATGTTTTGCTCCATCATACTGCTAAAATTTCCAAATGAACTCGATGTTATAATGTTATCAAGCTTGTTTCATCAATTTATGCACCTGTTGGAAGCATTCAAATGCATTTTTTTGCACGTGGTTTGGTGATGGGGACTGTCTTCTTCGGCCTCGAATATTTTTCTTATGCAGTTTCAGGAATACAGATCCAAATTTTCATGATGGGTTCACCCATTGGCCAGTTCAATGAGGAAATTCTATAGCTGTCCTTTCTTATTTGCTTTATCTCACTATCAAACTGTTAATTACATATCAGTTTTTGGGATAAATTGAGGGTGAATCTTTTTTTTTCTGCCCTAATGTCTGAAACTATTTTCTGCTTTGGAGGGAGAAGAACATTTCTTCCAATCATGAGAATTGAATTATGGAGGTGGAGGAGTTGTAGAGACATTTGAATATGGAAGAAGTTAACTAGATAGCTTAGACCTTTTGTGCCTTCTTTGTCTTTCTTCTTCCTTTTTATAAATCTTGTTATCCTTCAAATAAAAAAAGGCTTTCTTAACAGTCTGAAAACTGAAGCTGTGGCTTTGGATCCTAGAAGCCCATGTACCTCTCTGTTGGCATTTAGGTATTAGTACTGGAGTAGATGTTTAGGGCACGTTCGATGTAGAATTTTTGATGTATATTTTGTGAAAAGTGAATATATATATTTTTTAAATGTGGTTAAAATGTGGTGAAATATTATGAGTTTGTACTGAAAAATTATTAGTTTGCGTGCAAAATTATTGTATCGGGAGAATATGTGATTGAATGTGTTTGGGGAAAATGAATTTTTTACCAAACTGAGGCTTAATTTCAAGAATGGAAACTCATAAAGAACCAAAAGCTGCTGCATATTTTTAGATAAAAGTATGGTTTCAATTTTATATCTATAAGGTAGCATGGTATTTGATATTGGGCATCTGGTAGATTACTGTATTGTTTTGTGCATAGCTTTGTAAAACCATAGTTGATAAATTCAAATTTTTATGGGGGATAGAGGGTCTTTTGTTCAATGAAGCATTATTCTTGTCCATTATTTTTTTTTTCATGTTGCATTCTAGATATTGCCATGCCTAGTCTTCGTTTGAACCAGTCAGAAAATCTCTTTCCGATAAACCCTTTTGGTATCCAAATATACTTCGTCTGTAGTTTATGTTATTTGTTGACTCATCAAAGCTTTGGCATGTAAGAGCTGGTATTACTAACTTTTGACAATGATATCTGAATCTTTACAGCAAGAAAAGGAGAAGGCTATGGTTAATGAAATGATTGCAAAGCTTACAACTGTTTGCTGGGACAAATGCATCACAGGCACTCCTGGGAGCAAGTTCAGTTCTAGCGAGTCGTCTTGTCTCACCAACTGTGCTCAACGTTACATGGATATGAGTCTCATCATCATGAAACGCTTCCAGAACATGCAATGAAGTTAGGCCTGTGTCTTGGAGAGACGTCTATTGATCTCTAAAGTTTATTCTTAGTAATCTTCTTGCTGCTGCTACTAAGTGAGATGTTGGGGATATTTTTGCTAGTAATGTTATGAATTGATAATTTTCTGGTGAACAAAAGGGAATTTACAAGTTTTTTGTTCAATGCCTTGCTAAATATACTGCAAAGAAATTATTTGTGGTTGTAGTTCGTGGATAAAATTTAATAATTTACTGTGTGGCTCTGCAAAAGGCATATCTCGAAAGACACTATAAATGTGCCATGAATGTGAATGCAGTCAGCTGAGCACGGGCATCATGTTAGACACAGGTTCTATAGCCTCTTTTGAATAGTGAAAAGGTAAAGGTGAATGGTCGAGGATTAAAGATTAGTGCTATTTATAGTCATGACTATAATAGTTATTCTATGTTGCAGTTTATTATTTGAGGTAACAGAATTATAAGAAATTAATACTTCAAATAACAAGTTGTCTAAGATGACTACAATTGACTATGAATATCATTATTCAGGATTAATTGGGGTTGCATTAGTGTGAAACGGGAGGTCACAATTAATCACATATCTATGATATAATCTACTCTCTCTTAAAAGAGGGATTTTGAGGATTACTATTCATTTGTGTTTTTCCTCATATATCATTGTTCCATATGTGGACAAAAAAATAAAATAAAAATCTAGCCAAATTTATTGACTTAAATTCTAACTGTAAGACGAGGAATGATAACTTCTATGTTGCACACAAGTTGTCGTTGGCGTGAGAATTTTGATGTTCACAACCTCCCAACTAGCCGCAATTTTTGACTCGAACTAATGGTATTTTACTTGTTCACACAGTAACCGTAAGACAAAGAGGAATGATAACTTCTATGCTGCACACAAGTTGCCGTGAAAATTTGATGTTCACAACCTCCCAACTAGCCGTAATTTTTGACTCAAACTAATGGTATTTTACCCGTTCTCACAGTACCTTTAAACTATATAAATGCATTATGTTCTCTTATTTTGACAGCAACAAAGAAGACGTCGACTTTCATATCTTTAATATATTGATATAGGCATTTTTGGAACTATCCGAAGCACCCGAAGCACTTTCTTCCTTCTAAATTAATTGCGACGACTTCCGATCACTTTTCCGGTCACAATATGGCAAGTTTTCATTTCTCCCTCATTCTCCATAAGGAGAAGGGTAAGTTTGATTTCACCATTAACGGACTTTAATCTCTATTTTAGATCAAAAAGGTAATTTTAGGTTCTCGAACTGTTAGTTTCATTTGTTCAGTGTATTTCCATATTCATATTTTACGTCTTTACATCAAGCATAACTTGAGCTTGTCCCATTACAGCCTTTTCTTCGAAAGGTTTCAACTTGTTTAAAGGTTTGATTACTTTTTCAACATAATCTAAAAAGTGATGAATTAACAATATATCTAAATCCACTTTGAATAGATAGAAACGGATCTTCCATTTGTTGGTCATCTGAGGATTCCAATTTTCGTAGATTTGAGAGAGAATGAACCAAATTGGGGTTAGGGAAATGATTGTCAACAGTAAACGAGATGAGTGATATACGTGGAGCCGAGACCATCTCCGCGCACGCGGAGGCTCTCTCCGCGCTTATCGTAGACCCATGTCTCAGCAGCGCGATGCGGACTTGTTAGTTCCCAAAGTCCAAGCACTTCCCAAACTCCAAGAAAAATCACATGCAGCCTCCATTTCCCACCAACAAAATCGAAGACGGTAAATAGAATCAACAAACTGAAACTCGACGTATTCATCATAGTAAAAGGATAAATAATTCTATGTTAACTCAAAATAATAATTTAGGCTCTTCATATCCAGATGAATCTTATGAATCTACAATGAATCTTGATTTGGAAACTTCTACTCCAAATCAGCAATCAACTAATTAGGTTCATCATAAATTACAAGGAAGTTTTGACTTATCGAATATACCAACCAATGCATACATATTACCTACATCCATCTACTGTCAATATTGTGATGAGCAAAAATTTTACAGAGAAACTAAAAGATTTTTTTGTTGTGATGGAAAAGTTAAACTTTCTATACCTGATTCACCTATTGAATTGTATGATATATTTATGCCTAATAAAGTTACATGTATGGAATTTAAAAAACTTTCGCGCGGATATAATAATCATTTTGCGTTCACTTCATTTGGTGTAAAATTCGATAAAGAGCTTTTTCAAGCATATAAATGTATTTATACATTTAGAATTTAAGGACAGGTGTAACATTATGTAAATCAACTTCTACCAAAAATAATATCCCTACTTATATGCAGTTATATTTTTATGATACAGATAATGAAATTGAAAATTGTATGAAAATCTTAGAAAATTTTGTTCAATCTACTTTGACTATTTTAATGGAAATCTTTAAGGTCAATCATTCTTTAACTTCTTTATTCTCGATTTAGGGAAGAGTTCACAAATCAGGTCTCAAGTTTCCCAAATTCAAAATTCAGGCCTTAAGTTTAAAAATGCAAAAATCAGGTATTTGTTAATTAATTAAAAACATTTTATTAATGAAATATATTAAAATCACAATTATATAATTCATTGTCAGAGATGCATGCTTATGAGTCACAACTTTTTTTTTGGTCACATATTATCAAATTAATTATCATAGATTATTTCGAGATCACAAATTAAAAAATTTATATATCACAATTTATTTCATTTGTCACAGATCAAAAAAATTATAGGCCACGTTTTATTTATCGGTCACACATTTTCAAATTTGTTAGCCACGGATTATTTTTTACTCACAAATTATCGAATTTTAAAGTCACATTTAATAGTTAATCACAATGAACAAAATAGTTGGTCACAT